TTAATTAATTAATTTTATTTACAATTTATGCACACATTTTAATGGTGTGTTCTGCACAACATAGACACGTACATTTGTACCTATCAATATGCATATAATTAAATATGTAATTATATATTTATGCCTTTGTCTCCTTACTAACTTTAATCTTGAACTTTCATATTATTTATCGATCAAATAGTTGTTGGTTTAGTGTTCTATGATGTACTGTTTATGAGCTTTATTTAGATGCATTTGTTGTATTGATACTTTCTATGGTTTATGAGAGTATTTGATTCATTACATGTTCTTGCATACTAGATGTGTTATGAAATCCATGTATCATTATGAATGATACTTAACTCCCTAGTCTTGTGTCATTATGGGAATGATGACATAATAAGACTAGTATGATGTGTGATTGATGATCACATAGATGATCATAGGTATTGGATACGATCACTGTCATAGGTATTCGTTGGAGAACGGAATGCTGGATTGACCCGCATGAGATTGTCACATGGACTAGCGTCATGACTTGAATCTCATATGACGGTTCCATGATTGGATCCTAAGACCTGAGATATTTACGGAATCCAACATGAGGAGTTGCGTGCTTTGAATACGTCAAATGTCCTGCGTAACAGGAGGACTATAAAGGTGTGTATCAGGTACGAAACGAATCATGTGCTGGATTGTAGATAGTCAAGACGGGATTTGTACCTCTCGTAAAAGAGAGAGATATCGCTGAGCCCCTCGTGTGAGCGAGACTGTAGAAATGTGTGGCCGCACTATAGACGAACGTCGTCTATTTCAGACAGTCGAACTCAGTGAACGAGAAAGCAGTCGAATCAGATAAGGTGGCTTGTCCATGCCTTATATTCGACATATGATATCGTGATACAAAAGGATCATCAACCGGAATCATCACTGGCGTTCGTAAGATCACGAACAAACTCAATTTGAGATAGGTAGTCATAGTGTCTTGCTAGAGACCGCCTATGACTTGTATATCCGGAATAGAGATTTCGGGTTATACTGCTATATCGAATGAGCCTACAGGCTCACACACACAGGGAAGGACAAATGCACGAGAAAACGTCGAGAAATCTGGACAGAGGTCCGGACCGTCCGGTCTAGGAGTAGACCGAACGGACCAAATTGTTGGACCGAACGGACTAGAGAGTCCAGTCCGAACGGACCAAGTGTTGGACCGAACGGACTGACCCGTAAGTCCGAACGGACCTAGTTATGAGACTGGTCCGAACGAACCCAAGTGTCCAAACCGAACGAACTACTAAGCAGTCCGTTCGGTCTGGATTTCAGATTTAATTTTAAAGTCCAGATCTAGGGTTAATCACTTGAACAAGAGGAGAAAAATAACCCTAACACTAAGGAGCCGACCTAGAGAACTTCTTGAGACCTTTTTGGAGAGTCTAGAGGATACAAAAAGTGATTGAAGTCACGTTTTCTAAAAGCACATCATCGAATAGGAGATTCGAGTCCTAGCAGACAAGTTCCAAAGGTTGGAATCCATCCCGAGGTGTGGATACGTGTAGAGGGCGAGGTATTCTTCCTCCCTTTAGTGATCGGACGAACACATCAGTTGATACAAGCCCTGGATCGATTGAGGTAAGCGTTTTAACGTTTCTACAAGATCATGCATGATAGGTTTTAGGGTTTCATCAAATTTTGTTTTTCATCTGCTGCGCAAACCCTAGAACTGATCTCTTAGGAATTAGAATCGCTCTTGAGATCCCAGGAAAACCCAACACCAGGATGTAGGCAATTGGGTAATACGCATCTGGGCTTTGCGGATGACTTATTAGTCTTCACTGACGGTTCTGATAGCTCCCTGTAGGCTTTGATGCGAGTGCTTAGCGAATTCGATGAGAAGTCAGGATTGTATATCAACAAGTCCAAATCAAGCCTCTTTGCAGGAGGCTACAACATGGATCAGATCGAGCATATGTCAAGAACCACATGCATTGAGCACTCTTCTCCCCCATTTCGGTATCTAGGAATCCCCCTCTCATCCAGGAAACTCTCTTACAATGATTGTTCTCCTCTACTTATGAAAATCAGAAACAAGATGGAATCTTGGTCCACAAAATCGTTATCATTTGCAAGGAGACTGCAACTCCTAAACTCGGTTATCTCAGGGATTATCGGATATTGGTGTAGCGCTTTCATATTGCCTAAGAGGATTATTAAGACAATTACATCTCTATGTTCTGCGTTTTTGTGGAAAGGGAAAACAGAACCAACTAGAGGTGCTAGAGTAGCATGGGAGAGAATCACGAAGCCAAAGAATGAAGGAGGACTTGGATTAAGAGATCTCTCTCAATGGAACGACATTGCGGCCTTAAAGCTTATTTGGAGCCTTTTCTTTCGAGCGGGTTCTCTATGGGTGGGACGGATACACAGTAAGTATCTAAGAAGAGCCTCTTTCTGGTCAGTCACTAGCAAGTCGACACAATCTTGGACGTTCAGAAAATTGCTCAAGCTTAGAAACTAGGCATCATCCTTTTTTCGGTACCGTGTTGGGAATGGATATGGAACCAGGTTTTGGTTTGATCCATGGACGCCCATGGGTCCGCTGATCACGTTTCTTGGTCGAGGGGGGCCAACGCTAATGGGAATCCCTATTCAAGCCACAGTTTCTCAAGTGTTCTCTAACGGCTCTTGGTCCATTGCTCCTCCAAGGTCAGAAAACTCTCTCCGTCTGGCCATTTATCTTGCTTCGATTACCCTTTCTGATAGTGAGGATGAGGCATTATGGCAAGTGGCAGGGAAGGAGGCGACTCAATTCTCCAGTACAGAGGTCTGGAAATCAGTGTGTCACCCTTTTGTTTCTGTATATTGGGCTAATCTTATTTGGCATAAGCACCATATACCCAAGTTTGCATTTACTACTTGGCTCGTCAATCTAGACAGATGTCCGACTAGGAATAGAATGATCTCATCGGGATTACATGTCGATCCGAGATGCTTGCTCTGTCAAGGAAGCGAAGAGACCAGAGATCATATCTTCTTTTCTTGTCCATACTCATCTGGAATTATTGCTGGCTCGTTAGGAAAACTGATCCAGATTCCAGCTAGACTCTCTTGGAATGATCTAATTGCTAGGTAATAACCTTGGTTGCAGGATTAGGAGATTCAAATCCTATCATTATGGCAGATAATAACTTATCTGATCTGCAAATCGCAACCACTTTTTGGATGTAACTCTCCTAATCAGGGAGATTGACAAGGTATTCTGTTCACGTATTGCAGCACTCAGATTATCCTCTCCAGAATTTGCAAGTCTTAGCTTGCAGTTGTGGTTTGGAGCAATACTCGACCGATTCTCTTCCCAGATCCATCAGAATAGAAGGAAATCCTCATTACTTCTCTTGTAACTGTCTTATTACTCTTATTACTCCATATGTAATGATCGTGATACTTTCTGTATTTGTAACTATGCACTCTTTAATTAGTAAATACAAATCTTTATAAAAAAAACAATGACGTAGCGATTTCAAACATGGACAACAAAATGGTTGAACTTCGACCCCATCGTGTCTTTGTCCACCACAGACTCAGAACGTGTCTCTTTAGTTAATTGCTCGAACATCTGAATAACAATCTCCCATTTCGCCCAACGTTTCCGAGTCACCTATATTCACCACTTTGCAGCTACCATCACATAACACAATAAACAAGTCTCGTCTCTTCATACTACATGACTCTATAGACTTATGGTGACTAGAAGATTTCACTCTTACTAAATGGCTCACCATGATTCATTCTTAGTAAATGATTCCATCTTACTCGCTACGACTCAATACAACTAACTTTAACCATATGATCCGCAATGACTCTTTAAAACTTGTTACAACCCAATTTGACTATATGACTGACTCTCTACGATCACTACGAAACATACGGCTCATTATGATAATGACGCGAGATAGGGGGATAAAGAAAGTATCACTTGAAAAGAGAAATGTAATCGGGGGATCTCCATTTGTTAAATATCGAAGGGCGGTTCGAGTATTACATATTTGGACCGACAAAAGGTAATTCCAAAACTACACATTTGCAATGATGAAGGACAATTATGGTACTATATGTTGGGTTTTGGAGATCTCTAAAAATTGGGATGCCGTCCTATGAGACATTATACGAGAGATCCTATAAAACCCCGATATGTTGGAAAAAGATTGGAGAAAGACGAGAATTTTGATCCGAGATAGTGGAGAAAACTATGAAGATGATACAAAATATCAAAACTAATTTGAAGGTAGTCTAGGACCAACAAAAGTTCTATACAATTCAGAGGAGACAAGACGTTATGTTGGAAGCTAGAAACCGAGCATTCCTCCATATACGGGCGATGCAAGGACACACAAGTTTGGGCAATCAAGGAAGGTGAAGCCATGATACATTCGATCATACCATGTTATTGCGAATGTGAAAGTTGTGATGTAACGGTCCACATCCGCTACGGAATGTTGAAACTGTCTTTTCACACCAATACGAGACCTTTCAACATGCTTTTCCTCACTCGCACGTATACTGAGATACTTTCCAGTAGGTCACCCATCTTTATATTACTTCAGAGCCAACACGTTTAACTTTGGAGTTCTCTCGGGATAGACAACCGAAAAGGTGGGTGCACCTTATTGCTATAAGTAACCCAACTAATTCTTTTATGTTATCTCAGACCGTATAGTCTCGTACTTATACAACCCTCGGATCTCTTTCATTTTGGTGCGTTCGATTCATTTCCATATCCCTCTGGCCTGGTGGTACTCGGAGAGCCATCCCGACGATCACTTTCAATCCTCATCATAGTTGGGGATATCACATGTGACATATCGTTTGAGACTACTACTAGAATCGGGCAATATCCATAACGTGTTCTATGTGTCGATGTTACGAAGCATGTCGCAGATCCTTCCCATATGCTATAACCGCATGAGTTAGACACTACTCGATTTTGAGATGAACCACTATAGATGATTGACCGCAAGAGCAAAAAACTACGTAGTAAGAAGATACCATTTGTCAAGATCTTATGGTGGAATTAAGGAATTTTAGACATTGGAACTTTGAAGCTAAAATGGTTAGCAACTACTATTTGTTTTATTAGATATTGTAACGAATTATGAATTTGAGGATGAATTCAATTTAAGAGGATAGATTTTAATAACCCAATTTAGTTAATAAGCTATAAAAAATTGGCAGCCAAACCCTCCACGTGAAACAATACACACATAGCTAATTCAAAAGACTTCACATCTAAATATTCTCAAAATCACATCTCCATTTTGCAAACCTTGAAAATAGTAAAACATTGAGTAAATAAGTATGAATAAATAAAAAAATATAAAATTATAATCGAGACAAAAAGAAAGGAAAATTTGCAGTAATGTACCAAAAAATGTCTTTGCATTCTATACTTCTATTATTGTAATCTTTGTATTCTATACTTTTTAAAGTTAAAATGACCATTATACCCTTCTATATTATTACAACCAGCAGATTTCCTACATTTATAAAAAAACACTTGCATGAATTTCGTTTTCCTCTACATATATGAAAAAACACTTATATAGATTTTGTTTTCCTATATAAGTATAGAAAAACATTTGTATAGGTTTCATAAAAAAATACTTGCAAGTCAATAGGTCATCAGGTCAGCATGTCATCACATTACCAGATTAGCAGGTCACCTACTGCATGTTGCAAGTGACCTGACGCATGTCGCAGATCACTTGTCGCATGTCGTAGATGACCTGGTGCCGTAGGCCCCAGGTTACATACTGGAATCTGCCATAGTTTTCTGTTTCAGGAATTTCATCAAACACCTTGTATGCAGAAAATAAAATGATCATATGAATACCACAGAAAAAGAAATCAGACAGAAGAGTATTTGAATAGATGAGATAAACTGTAAGAAATAGAGGAAATAGAAAAAATATTAGAGAAAATAGAAGGACAAATCTCAAAACGCACTGATTTTTAAAAGATAGATTTTCACATAATCGTAGAGAGATATAGACGAAAAGATTTGGTCCAACCAGCAAAAAGATCGGGAGAATAGGTAAATGGACATGGTCGTAGTTATCGTTAATTATCTGGTCGCGTTTGCATTATGTTCGTAGTGTAATCACGGTCGTAGTTATCGTTAATTATCTAGTCGTATTTGCATTATGTTCATAGTATAATTACAGTCGTACTTATCTGGTCGTAGTGGAATCACGGTCGTAGTTATCTGGTCGTAGTAAAATCACGGTCGTAGTTAATATCAATTATATGGACGTATTTACACTATGTTAATAGTGAAATCACAGTCGTAGTTAACGTTAATTATCTAGTCGTGTTTGCATTATGTTCGTAGTATAATCACGGTCGTAGTTATCTGGTCGTAGTGAAATCACTGTCGTAGTTAACCAGCCGCAGGTGCCGCAGGTGTCGCAGGCCGCATGTGTCATAGGTGCCGTAGATTGCAGGTGCTGCAGGTGACCTACCGCAAGCCGTAGGTGCCGCAGGTGATTTATCGCGGGCCGCAGGTGACTTGCCGCAGACGCAAGTCATTTGCGGCATATCACAGGTCATGTGTCGCAGGTCATCTGCCAAACCGTAGGTCATCTTCCGTAGACTGTAGGTCATTTACCGCAAAGCGAGGTCATTTTTTCACAGACGGCAGGTCATCTGCTACAGTTTTCTGTTACGGACATTTCATCAAACACCTTATATGCATACAAAAAAATGATCATAATATCATAGAAAAAAAAAATACCGAGAAGAGTATTTCAATAGGTTAGATACACTGTAAGAAATAGAGGAGATAGAGAAAATGTTGGAGAACAAATAAGATCAAGTAGCAAAACGTACTGATTTCTATAAGATAGATTATCAGACAATTGTAGAAAAATACTCTGAAAGATAGTTTGAGTACTTAGGAAAAAAAAAGTATAGTATACAAAAGTTTTTTTTTTTGTGAGATATTTTGCAAATTTCGTTTTTGTTTGGATACATTTTGCCAACTTCCCCTAAAAAGAATTACCATGACTAGTCTTCATCTTCTTACACATATAATCACTTTATCCCGATGTTTTCTGAAATTCTTTGCAAACAAAGAAAAATCTATAAATCATTAAATTAAAGTTTTATATTACATTTAATAAACAATATAAAAATAATAAGAAATACCTTCGACCAATGCATAAATAAAGTCGTTCTCTACGATCACATCACCAAAGTTACGATTTTCATCAGAAGAAATAGGATACTGCAACCAATTTTGCGTAAGGATCAATGACTCAACCATATCGGGAATTAAACAACTCCGATATTGGTCTAGAATACGACCTCTGGAACTAAATGTTGATTCACATGAAATGGTAGAAACCAGAAATACCAATATATATCTCGCCATTTCTGATAGGATTAGAAATTTACCACTCGTCACCTTTCACCATGATAAAATATAAAATTTCAAACCTAAATTGTTAGCTTTTATCACCTCAATCTTTTCCATCAAATAGATATCCAACTCATTCGATGATTTCTCAATAACCCCTTTGTCCGCCATCATTTGACTATACGAAGCAAAATGATCATCATCTTGTATGAAACTCATGTCAATTTCAAAACCATTGGTACCCATTGACAATTCACACGACTATGTATTACCAATCGTTCTATTTCTACTTCCACGTCCTTCTCCATGTAGTACTTTGTGGTTGTACCACTCATAATACGAGTCAAACAATCTACCATCTCTTCAGTGATGCCCCTCATCATTTCACTGTAGGGTTTCTACGGGCTCCTAACATGCGATCTCATCGATCTAAGGTTTGGTTTCTAGGTTTTATGCAGCGGAACAAAAAGATCTAAACCTAGCCAAACGTCACACAAAACCAATTGTGCAATAACCCGAAAGAACGTGTATATCACCGTGGGATTCGAATACTTACCTCGTTCTATCAAGATCTGGAAGTATCAATCGATCCAGGGCCTGTTTTAATCACCAAGAGTTGAAAGTACAACTCCTCTACAGGTATCCACACTGGGGGATGAATTCCAACACTTTGGAATGTATCTGCTAGGATTTGTGAAGAGAAAACGACGTCCAGACTTGGAATCGATATTCCGGGGTTTAGAACTCAAGAAAAAACTTCTCCAATGCTCTAGAATGTGTCTAGGACGTGTTAGGTTGATTACCTAGGGTTTGTGGCGGCTCCCCTGATTAATAGGATTGCCTAAACCCTAAAAACGCAAAAAAGGAAATTTTCCCGAAAGTCGGACCGTCCGGTCTAGGTCTGGACCGGACAGTCTGACCCCTACGCGGAACAGACGGTCCGTTTTTAGCAGAACCAACGGTCTGCATGCCTGGACCGGACGGTCTGGCCCTTGCAGAATGGTCGGTCTATTCCTCAGCGGAACGGACGGACTGACACGGCTGGACCGTCCGGTCCAGCTCGTTCCGTCTGGAACCCTTC